GGTCTCGTCAGAAACTTTGCTGGAATCAGTTCTTGGCCCTGACTCTTAAAAGGTTATTTTGGTGTTTTAAACCTATGAGCTATGCAGACAATATCGCCGCGATAATCACTGTTCGAAACACTGAAGATGCGCGCAAGGAATTAATATAAACACGTTTCACATACATACCTACATATTTCAGGCTAATAGTGAGTAGCTATTAAGTACTTGAAAGATTTGAAAACCTTTTAGGACAAGTGATGATTAAGGCATAAATATGGCTTGACACGTGAGTTCATTACACTTTTAATGAAAAAAACGAGCTGGTATTGTTAACAAAGGAGCATATTCCGATTAAAATAGACATGAGTGCAATAACTGAGACTCTAAGAGTACAAATGCTTGTAAATTATTTGGCTGTAAGATTAGACTCTAAGTTTACCACTTGGCACAAATCCAAATCGCTATAGAAAAGATGCCTAACTTTAATACTTAGTAGCCTGTTCGCCAACATCGCATGATCATATCAAATTTGTTTAGAAGAGAGAGGTCGATGGACGACCAAGCTAATCAAAAATTGAAATATGGTCATACAGCTAAGCAGATATTATTCGGTCACGTATTTAGAAAAAATCTATATAAAATGGAGAAAGCCAAAAAATCGTTATATATATAACAGTTGCGATCGATGACGCTAATCACACGTGAACTCTTCAAAACGAGGTAAACTGGAAGACCGGTAAGAATTACACACAAAACAATAAATATGCATGTCTTAGGATGAGAAGTGTGGAAGGTCACCCTGAAGAAATGCAAAGTAGTACCAGGATGGACGAAGGTTCCCTCGAGAAATGTTTTAGTGGTTGCCAGCAGTGACGACACATACGAAGGTATTTTTGCCACCCCACCAAGGAAAAAAAATGATACAACAACAGTACACTAAAGTACACTAAAAAGTTAAATTTACCAAGTTATTGTCCTTCCTTATTTAATAAAATTATTTTTTAAATAAAAAAGCAGATTCTACAATTTAATAGTAATCTTAACTGTAAAAAAAAATATTTTTAATTAATTACCATGTTTTTTTGGTTTAAAAATCAGTTCTTTAATAATTTATATACTTTCAGAATTGTTAAATTTTTTTATATGTTTTTATAAGGCTGGCTTTTATGCCAACTGGAAGCTTTTGAAGTAACAAAAGAATGAAAATAAGCACGTTTATATATTGCTATCATTATATTTTAAAACTATTGTTATTTTAATTTTTCTTGAATAATTATTTTTATTTTTTATGTCTAGAAAGTGAGTAGTACTCAGTAGGAAACCTCGGAGGGTCTAAAAAATGTATGTTTAAATGATCAACATCACGAGCTGTGCCGATTTAGTAATGTCTGTCTGTCTGTCCGTATATAAAGACGAACTAGTCCCTCAGTGTAGGAGATATCAATTAGGCAAAGCTGTGCATTTGTCGAAACTGATATTGACACATAGCTTCCATACAAAATGAACAGTCGGAAATTCTTATGCGCCCAGGCCGTTCAGCTCTTTCAAGGGTTGTTTGAAGCAGTGGATCCTAGAAAAATGCCTCAGGTGTTGGAACACAGTTCACACCACAAATTTACTGCGGAGTAGTATTGATGGTGGACAGATCAACAGGTTCATGTTTTTAGTCCAAAAAAAAAAAAAAAAAAAAAAAAAAAAAAAAAAAAAAAAAAAAAAAAAAAAAAAAAAAAAAAAAAAAAAAAAAAAAAAAAAAAAAAAAATGGACTCGGCGGAATGCAGAGCATGCGCGGAGGATTGTGAAGCGCTGGAAAATTTTCTATGCGAATGTCCAGCCTTCAAGAGTGGGTGGCACTGAACGAATACTACTTCAACTTAATGAAGGGGGAGTTAAAGCAGTAGCATTTGCAGACGATATAGTGTTAATCATATTAGCGATGTTACCATCCACAATCACGGAGGTCATGAAAAGAGCCTTACGAAGGTTGCACCTGTGGTCAGCAAATAATAGACAAGAAGTTAAATAAACCCAGAACAACTCAATTTCATCTTCCTTCACTAGGTGAGATTTCCCTGTAAAACACGGGAAAACATCAAGGATCGAGATCGATACCTAACTGAGCGGGTAAATTAATATTGAGAAACGAATTAAAAACGCAACACGTGCAAGAGAATACTCAGCAGGAACTATACCCTAAAGCTGAATATAGGTATTTGGGCCATTAGACCAATTATTGCGTACTTAAAAATGGATTGCGGTGAAGTGACGTAGGTATTCCATTGATTCTGTTTTCTCATCCTTATCCCTCTACCAAACCTTACATATAAATAGATAGCCAGACGGCATTGGTAGCCTGGTAGTCGCCAGAGGTAAATATGGTAAAAAAAAAGGTATGAAAGCTTTAAGCTCAGTGGCGAGTCAAATCCACTTGTCACTAATTTGGGTTCATGGTTCAAAGTACCCTCTCGGTAACGAAAATACAGAAAAGTTGTCCAAGTCAAAAGCCTCTCTAGATGAAACTGAGGCGGACACAATACTGTTAACGCTAGAAACAAACATGAGAGAGCAATTTGAACGAATAGTTCAGAACAGATGGAAATCTGTAAGAGGTGGCTGAATTTTTAAGAGTTAGAAATGGAATATCTTGATTTCGTTAACACTAAATAGCTCATAGAACATTTGGGACTTTCTATCTTTCGATATTTTTTTTTCTTTAGATTTTAATTTACGATATTTGTCTTTAGATAGAAAAAGTATTTAGGCCATTTAGAAATTTGCCCCAAAAGATTGCAAAAATTTCACAATCCTATAGCGATTTTTTATTTGCTTTTTCAGACATAAAAATTACAAAAACAATAATAAATACATTTTTAACAACTTTATCGTAAAATCCAATATTTGCCATGACTAAAAGAGTGCAAAGATTTTTCGCCAATCATGTGATGCTCATATAAATTATGAGTTCTTTAAGCAATATACGATTATGAACTACACATTTGTTTTTGTGTTTTGCTTTTTTCGCCTAAATCGTTATATTGCCTACAGTACAGCACGAAATTTGCCATTCATAAAAATGGCATTCAGCTGAAGCGTACACCCTGTCGGCTAAGTAACCAAACGGTCGAAGATGGTTGCCAACACGAACTGTTGTTCAAATATGTACGAGTTCAAGAAGTTCAAGTAAGCATGCAGCTGCACGGTACCTATCAAGACTGTACATGACTACCGTTTCGGGCTGTAGCGCTTATCGAAATCTTATCACTTAAGTTTGTATGCCTACTATATAATATCCGTCTTATCTCTAACATACACTGCCTATCTTTAGCTGATTTTGATTATAAAATAATTAGATTTTGCTTACTCTTTAGTTTGGTGAGGTGTGTTTGAAGGCCGCGTTAAGCACTGTTTGCAGGGGAAGACACTATACTGTTTTGTGATGTTATGCTGTGCGTGCTTTTTTTAAAATTTATAGGTTTATTCAAAATTGTTTTCGAAAAAGTTTTCACAATTATTTTCAAAAAAGTTATAAAAAATTTTGGATTTTTTTAATACCTTTTATAGAAAAATAATTTTTTTAAGATTTTAAAAAGTTTTCACATTTTTCGAAAAGTCAAAAAAAAAAAAATTCAACTGCGCGCGTCGAAGGATTAGCAGAATTATTTTTTTTAGGTTGGTAGCACTGTCAGTCACATTTATGTCAAATTTCATGTCCAAATATTCATTAGTGTTTGAGATACGTGTCGTTTTGTGAGCTGTTAAAGTGAGTTTTTCGTTTTTTGCAATGTCGAATTTCGAATTTCGCCAAAAACTCAACCAATATCATTCCGCAACCATCGTATTCACCTGATCTGACGCCGTGCGACTTCTGGCTGTTTACCAAGCGTAAAAGACCGCTCCGGGGACACCGATTTTATACGATATTCAAGCCGCAGCGAAGACGGAACTGAAGGCCATCCCGGAAAGTGACTACAACCAGTGTTTCGAAGATTGGAAAATCCGTTGGCATAATGTACTATATCTAGTGGGCATTACTTTGAAGGGGATGAAATTGATTTGGAAGAATAAATAAATAATTTTAGAAATAAATACAAAGTCACCTTATTTTTTGGGCACAGTTAAAAATTTTCAAATCTTTTTTTTTTTGTTGTTAAATGATTTTCGTAATGTCTTCAGCTTTTTTCACAAAATATTTTTAGGTTCAAGATAATTTTCAAGAATATTTTAAAAAATTTTGAAACTTTTTGAAAAAAAAAAACGTTTTTCATGATTTTAAATATATCGTTTTTTTCAAAAAGTAGTTTAAAACTTTTAGATTTTTCAAAACTTTTTATAATTTTAAATGATTTGGAAAAATTTTCGAAACTTTTTCGAATAATATTTGTTTTAAAATTTGCGAACTCAATTTTTTTAATTTT